ATCCTTTAAGCAATGGCAAAAAGACAAAAATGTCAATTTGATCATACTCAAAGGCGCCGGTGAAAAAGCTTTCTGTGCTGGTGGAGATGTCGTCGGTGAATCATATCGTTTCTTGAATCTAAAGTAATTAAATATTACTTTAAATTACCCTTTTAAGGGGTTCAGCTGTGATAAAATCGGCTAAAGCAGCGAAAGAAGGCTCCACTTCCTCTATTCACAGGGATTTTTTCAAGTAAGCAATTTTAAAGTTTGTAATCTTTCTGTCAATGATCTACTATTCAGGGAAGAATATTTCCTCAATTATCTCATTGGCTGCCTCTCAATGCCTTTTGTAGCCTTCATAGATGGAATTGTCATGGGAGGAGTAAGCCTATCACACAACTCTAAAGTCGTTGTTACATGTTTTTTCCAAAGTTGATGTTTTTCAAGGGCTGTGGTTTATCTGTAAATGGCAAATTCCGTGTAGGCACTGAACGTACAATGTTAGCCATGCCGGAAACAGCTTTGGGTCTTTTTCCGGATGTTGGAGGATCCTACTTCCTTTCTAGACTAAAAGTTTGCTTGTTTTAATTTAGGAAGTTCCGATACCGCACTTATCAACTTTTTACTTTTTCTCAACAGAATAATCTTGGCAACTATCTTGCGCTAACTGGCTATCGGCTCCAAGGTGCAGACGCTTTTCATGCTGGCTTAGCAACACACTATGTGGGTCCTCTCAATTTATAAAAAAATTGTTTACTATAAATCCGGATAATTGTAGGTACCCTCTTCAAAACTTGACGATCTACAAAAGAAACTTGTATCGTTGGATACTGTTACGGATAAGACTGTGGATGCAGTACTTCATGACTTTCAACCCTCTACTATTCCCGAGTTCTCATTGAAGGAACATCTGCCAGCTATAAATAGAACCTTCAATGCCAAGTTAGTCAATTCATACTTCCCTCTCTAAATTCAAAAATTTAAGGCTTGAAACTCATCTGCTATTTTTGAGTAACTACTGCTTCACCTCTTCTCGATCTAGATTTGACATTATAAAATAGTACTTTTAGCTAATTTAAAAAGTGAGCAGTACACGTATATCGCTGCTGAAAGCACTGTTTTAAGTTTACCTTTTAATGCACTTTTAAAAATTGAAGGTAGTGAGGCCATCTATCCCGACGGTAGAGCCTGCCCATAATAGTGTGAAATCAACAGCCACGTTTTCATAACTCAATCGCTCATGTATTCTTAAAGCTTTTAGCTAAAGTAACGATTGAGAATTGCTTTTCTACTTTCCTAATATAAACACCAGCTTCGTGACTGACTGAGACTATGATCTGTGACTATAATAATTGTGATACACGAACTGTGTAGGCAAAATTTAAATTAAACTGCTGTTTTCTATTTAGATCAGTTGAGGGAATAATAGAGAACCTGAAGAAGGAGAACTCCGAGTGGTCTACGCATCAGATAGCAACATTGTTGAAAATGAGCCCAACCTCTCTTAAGGTCACTTTCAAACAGTTACAGAATGGATCAAAGATGAAGTTCAATGAAGTATGTACAAAGCCTTAATTTGAGTTACTTTTTATTAACGATGTCCGAGCCAATTTCTTTTTGAGGTGTTCACCATGGAATACCGATTAACCCAACATTGCCTCGAAGATCATGATTTCTACGAAGGCTGCCGAGCAAGTAAGTAGTAGCCTTGCACGTACACTCATTTGTGAGGAATTCATTGTGCTTGTTTAGTTCTTATCGACAAGGATAGAAGGCCTGTATGGAAGCCTATTACCCTTGAGCAAGTCACAGAAGAAAAGCTGGCGTGGTACTTCTCACCACTTGGTGAAAATCGAGACATAGTTGTCGATGGCCTCAATCCAAAACTCTGAGAAGCATTAGATTTGTTTTGGTTTGAATCACTGAATGTTGATGCATTTTCATGAAGATATCGCTCATTTTTCTATCTTTTTTCTTCGAAGCTTTTTCAACTTTGAAAATGTTATTATTTTTGATATAGCTTGAGTTTTTCATATGAGCAATCAGTTTTAGTTATCGCAAAGAACACGCGATCGTACTGATTTCAGAGTGGTAGAATGAAGATGGCTGCAACTCTGCTCGATACCATCACATACTATGAACATCTTCCTGCAGATCTCAATATCGAATTTTTCGCTTTGACGAGTATAAACTTCGGCAAGCGTGAAAATGTTTTAAAAAAATCAGTATTTGGCTTTTTCGGAAAAGGGGACAAGTTGCAGCGGCAGATTGTCTTTGGCTTCTCTCCCCGGTAGTGCTCTGAAAGACAGCCGATCGTTTGGGGACATGTAGAAGTTACGTCGGTGCAACTCGTTTTGAAGAGCTGGGAACTACTATAAAAAGTTTGTAATTCTCGTTCCTTTTACACAAATACAATTATTTGCGCTTTTTTTGCTAGAGAACTTTGCTGGCGAAAGAAGCCAAAACTTAAAAACTCAGAGTTGCAACTTGTCCTCTATGTAGAAGGAGCGAGGATTCTATTCTACTTGAAGTCTTCGTGTTCTACGCACCAAAATGACTTATAGAAGGTGAAGAACTGACATTGGAGTAAGTAATACTTGTTATTACCACCCATGACACCACCTATCTGAAATGTTAAAAGCAGTTAATATTGACTTTTTTGTCAACATGCTTGTTGACATCTCTTCGATTTAAAATTTGCACAAACAATAGCATATGATGAGATTCAAGCATTTTTCCTGATCCTGTAAAGTTTGCTATCGTATGGGCGTAATCCCAAGCCCAAATACTCCAATTTTACGACATCTGATTCGAATATCATCTCAATAATCTGAAACTACCATAGAGTAGTAGTGGTTCTTATGGAAATGAACCTTTGAATGTAGCTTTGCAAAAAAATTCTGATCTCTGGGGAATAATCACCACATGTTACTCAGGGAACTTTGTGATAGTGGAACGAAACATATGACAATTTCCTTTCCGAAGTCCTCGATAATGCTCATGGCCAATTCGGGCTAACAAACTTTTTCGATGAAAGTCACCGTCTAAAGTAAAGGATATATCGTAACCTAAGTGATCTGTTATAATGTGAACGTCAAAACTCCTCCATCTTCTCATTATTCCCAACTCCAGTGCATTGTTTTCAGGACTACTCCATTCTGACTCACACTCTGGCTTCTTGAAAATCGCTTATCCTTCCAAAGAATTTTTCAATTTTTCTAGAGTCAACATCTAGAAGAAAAAACGCATGACTGCAAAGATCAAACAGAGATTAGTTAGCCAAACAACAACACATTTGACTTTTTTTTCCATTCTAGTGATAATTGCTTTCCACTGGCTGAGGTAGAACTCATCTATTTTCGTGTGATGCAATAAGTAAAGGAACCAGGGCGAGTAGGTTACATCTCATAATATCACGTCTCTAAACATGGCTTCTTAAATATCTTTGTTTTAGCAAGACTACACGTGAATTTTGCAAGAATAGGTGGCAAGTGGCGAATTTAAGGCTTAAGAGCGGCATTTGGTAGAATAACATCAATTCTTTGAGATATCACTTGGGGAAGTAGTTAGGAAAATGTCGAGTTATCAAGTTTACCCAAAGTCTTGTAACACACAAT